GCAGGCAAGAGACACGTAATACACTAATGTAACACGTTGTAGTAATAATATACAGGGGCTGTTCAGACCGACTACACAAACACTAGCAACTAATTAATACTATTATACTCCGTCCATGTCTCACAATTCCACGATAATTATATTATAGCTTTAGATCACCGGTATTACGAACCAAGACGGGGCGACATATTTGTTTGTTTGTGTATACCAATATAGACAAAACAAAATATAGTTTGCAAAGCTGCGCCGGAAGTCTCCGACATCATACATGTACACGTCTGTCATTTCCATTTTAACACCACTTTACAAATTACAACTACCACCCTTTGCTATGAGAAAGGAAGCCCAGTAATACCACCACAGTCGCTGATGCTTTATATCCCAAAAGGTAAACCTTAACGATGACTGAACACGGCTTAATTGGAAACTTGCAACGTGTCTTATCACTTACCTTCCCATTGATTTGAGGTCGCCATTTTGTGTAGTGACGTCATGCATGAAAACAACATATTTGTTGGTGGCGCTGTTTTATCTGGTCACGTCAGATTCATGCGTCAGATGTGTATTGTGGGCATTACGCCACAACACACAGCATATGTGACGTACCGTGTACCTGGGCTTCTTGAATTCTTGGTCGCTATAGGAACATGTTGAATACACAATATCACACAATATTCCTGTGTGTAAAGTTTGGAGTTTACAATATTCCTGTGTGTAAATTGTTGAGAACACAAAATTACCGTGTGGAGTTTATATGTTTCATGTGTGTTAAGTGTGGAGTTTACAAGATTCAGTGTGTAAAATGTGCAGTTCACTTTATTCATGTATATGGAAGGTGTGGAGATTACAGGATTTCTGCGTGAGTAAAATGTGGGGTTTACAAGATTCCTGTGTGTAAAGTGTGGAATTTAGAATATTCCTGTGTGTAAAGTGTCGTGTTTACACGATTCCTGTGTATAAAGTGTAGAGTTTAGAATATTCCTGTGTGAAGTGAGGAGTTTATATGATTCCTGTGTGTGTATATTCCCGTTTGTAAAATGTGGGGTTTACAAGTTTCCTGTGTATAAAGTTTACAATGTTCCTTTGTGTAAAGTGTAGAGTTTACAATATTCCTATGTGTGAAGTGAGGAGTTTATACGATTCCTGTGGTGTATATTCCCGTTTGTAAAATGTGGGGTTTACAAGTTTCCTGTGTGATAAAGTTTACAATGTTCTTTGTGTAAAGTGTAGTTTACAATATTCCTATGTGTGAAGTGAGTTTATATGATTCCTGTGTGTGTATATTGCAGTTTGTAAAATGTGGGGTTTACAAGTTTCCTGTGTGTAAAGTTTACATTGTTCTATTGTGTAAAGTGTGTAGAATAAAGATCCATGCATGTAAAGTTTGCTATATTCATATGTGTAAAGTGTCGTGTTTACGCGATTCCTGTGTGTAAAGTGTAGAGTTTACAATATGGCTATTACCTATATGGCTACTGGGATTTCCGCCCTAACCATGAAAAATTACCTCTGATTTAAGTTTTAGCGATGTTGCTACCAGACCACTAAATACAAGCAATCGGCATTAAATCGGGTATTCGAGTTTCGCCTGTAATGCCGATGGAAATAAACAAGCTGCGTCAGATGGGTAGTGTTGACAGCCTCTAACCCAGTCTTTCTAATTCAAGAAACCTTTTACATAGCTTTCACCCCAGGCTCAGACTTGTAGCTGTCTGAGCCCCAGGTTGACTTGTACCGGCGGCATTGAAAGGTGAATAGCGAAAGAGTCACAAAATAATTTGAAAGAAGTTGGTTTGTATTTCCGCGGACTCCAACAGATTTCAACTTACGGGCTGTGTGCAGCGTCAAAGGTCGTCTATGTACTATACAACACATTGATACTGTTCCAAAACTCATTCAGTCACATGTAATGTTATTTTCATTATAGTAAGATAGTCTCCAAATTAAAACGATCACATAAGGTACAAGGAGTCCTTGGCACTCGTTTTAAAGATGTACAGAGAGTATTTTTGAACAGGTTTAAATAGTTGCGTTTGATATTGCATTGTGAGAGAAACAATCATAATACGAATGATCATGAAATATGTGATTTTGGCAGAAAATGTAGCAGCATTTGTTTAATAAAATACTGAAAACCTTAAATGAGAATGCGTCATGGATTCGCCAATACGAACAGATTTTTTTCAGTATTTTGTTGAATGAACGAATACCACTACGTTTTCAGCTAAACCATTTTCATGTTGTATTGTTTCTCTCAAAGACAAAATGAAACTCAGATTTACTCTAGGTTGACTTCAATCCCAAAACAAAATTTTCTTACGTGACATCTGGATAAAAAAAAACAACCAAAAGTGTAGACCTTTCATACTGACGCATGCGCAGCGATAAGAAACTGGTAGTTTCTTTTAATACACGCACGCCATCAACACTTTATTTTCATTTCAAAACACTAAGAGTAACATTTCTGCACAATTAGCCATTTATTATGAAAATGTAATGAAAATCAAAAGATACATTCAAATCCTGGCAAATTTTGCATTTCGATTTACCTATTTGGGTTAGGAAGCGCAGTTCACGGTCGAATCGGCAGATCACAAGCCCACATACATTTATCTGAAGACCATTTCAGTATTATAGCACAAACAGAACTAAATACATCGCTAAAGAAGGTGGTCAATTATTTGTGATCTCATTAATGAGTTTGAATAATTTATGAGGCAAGACATGACAATAGAATGCGTAAACTACATACATATCCCCCAATGGACACACCTTTCCTACAAATCGCGCCCTCTAGCGACGCATCTCTTCTATGACGTGGATGGGCAATAACACGATTACTGAAATTCGTTAGTAGCCGTGGCGATACGAAGGTAGCTAAAAGCGTCGATATCTTTTGGATCCGTCATCAATGAAGATTACGTTTAAAGCGGGAGGATCGTCACCTGCGCACCTGAATCCCAAGCGACGATAACACACTCTAAAAACGCAAAGCCTCATAGATAGACGCTTGTTTGTAACCAATGACACACTAAGGCCATCTGACGCATGCGCAGGTGACGACACCCCCGTTTTAAGATTTTACTTCATTGATTCGTAACTGGCGACTACATAACCAAAACGTCATCGATTTGATTAACATTTCCTTCACCTATTCTGACGCCACAAAACATTCTACCACTGATGCTATTTATCGGAAGGTGTTATTTGTAATTTCAAGAAATTAATCCATGTGCCACACATATATTCCACAAAGCAGCGAGTTTCAGATTTTCTAGACAAAGTTGCCAAGTTCTGTTGACACTGAAATAAACTTCAGCTCACAGTAAATTTAGGGTTAGCACGACCGGAACAGAATTTCGGAGATCCGTTTTGTTTGATAAATGCCACATTTTCGAAATTACAATAGCATAAAATCACTGTTAACATTGGCTTAGCAATTATTTTGAAGAACAAATCCAAATTAACCATTTTAAATTTGGCATTATTTTCATAAATTCCATACAATGTAATAGAATTAAAGCGGGCGAGTCGTCACCAGCGAATGCGCCAGATGGACATAGCGTGTCATTGTTTACAAACAAGCGTCTACCCATAAGCCTTTGT